TGCATGGATGGATGGATAAATAGACGGATAGACAGACAGATAGATTCTAAGGCAATAGTCAATAGTTTCTGGAGAGTAGGGCTGGATTGTTGGGGTTGTGGGTAGTAGGAAAGTGGCTTATTTTTCACAGTGCACTTCTGTATGTTTTTTAAAACATGAGGATGTGTTACTTTTATAACTTAAAGAAATATGAGTATTAGAAAAGTATTTACAACAAAGTATTTAAACTCTTGAAACTGATCAGAACAAATCAAAGTGCTTCCCCTGCACTCCTAAGAAAGTGAGCAGGGAGCCCACTGGGGACCCAGCAGGCAGATCACAAAAGTGGTCAACAAGTAAATGAAATGTCCTCCCACAGCAGCACTGAAGTAAAGTCTCCTTCCCTGGGTCCCTAGTGCACCGGTTCTGTCCCACAAGGCACCAGCTGAATGTTTACCCTCCTAGAGATAATGCAGTTCATACACCAGCACAGGGCCCTGGCCATTTGAAATTCCATTTCTGGGAATGTGCCCTAAGGAAAGAATAAGGGAGAATAAGGGAAAGTGGGCATGATGTTCACTGCAGCCAGTCCGGTGGGCCAGTGCCTAAACTCTTGCCCTTTTTTTTTTTTTGTACAAGTGAAAAATGAATACATCCTCTTCTTCTTCCCCACCGCTTGCCCCTAACTCTCAATGGCTTTCAATCACCATTAATGTTTAGCATGTCTCTTTCCTTCACTTTAAAAATAAAACTGCCAGTTATTTACCAACAAAAAATCGGTTTATTTGGGAACAGTAGGGAATTGCGATCCAGGACAAGGACAGATGAGCAAAACCATAGGGAAGTCCAGAGAGCAAAGGAGAGGAATGGAATGCTCTTTTACAGAAGAAAATGGGAAGTCAGGAGGGGTGTTCTAAACAAAAAGTCCCTGAGAATAAACTGAGAGTTCAAAGTATAGTGGCTTTCCATTGGCTGAGCTGTGACTGTTTCTCATTGGCTGGTCTGTTGCCAGGGTAGTAGGAAACTTTTCTCCTGCAAGGGGATGGTGGGGGAATAGCAAACAAGCAGCTTAAGTAGCAAAGAAGGGGCGTCCAGGTGGCTCAGTGGGTTGAGCGTCTGACTTCGGCTCAGGTCATTGATCTCACGGTTGGTGGGTTCGAGCCCCTCGTCGAGCTCAGAGCCTGGAGCCTGCTTCGGATTCTATGTCTCCCTCTCTCTCTCTGACCCTCCCCTGCTCACGCTGTCTCTCTCTGTCTCAGAAACAAATAAAACATTAAAAAAAAAAAATTAAAGTAGCAAGGGCCTTAAAAGGTTTCTTTTCCAGTTGGGTCTGCAATTAACAAGGAGTGGTTGGGCATGAAAACATTCCCTGCTTGCTTTCCAACTTCATTATATATGAAGTTCCCTTTTATTTTCAAACTTCAAGTTTTTTGCTTGAAGATTTTAAATAACTTAAAAATATGCTTTAATAACAAGAGAAGGCATTTTTAATTATTTTCTGTTTAAGCCTTTACTGTGAAAAATTTGAGGCGCACCTGGGTGGCTCAGTCCGTTAAGCGTCCAACTTCAGCTTGTTATGATCTTACGGTTTGTGGGTTCAAGCCCAACGTCGGTCTCTGTGCTGACAGCTAGTTGAGTCTGAAGCCTGTCTTTGGATTCTGTGTCTCCCTCTCTCTCTGACCCCCCCCTGCTCATGCTGTCTCTCTCTCTCTCTCAAAAATAAGTAAGACATTAAAAACATTTTGAAACAGGGGCGCCTGGGTGGCTTAGTCGGTTAAGCGTCCGACTTTCGCTTAGGTCATGAGCTCGCGGTTCGTGGGTTCGAGCCCCGCGTCGGGCTCTGTGCTGACTGCCAGCTCAGAGCCTGGAGCCTGTTTCAGAGTCTGTATCTCCCTCTCTCTCTCGCTGACCCTCCCTTGCTCACGCTGTCTCTCTCTCTCCTAGAAATAAATAAAACATTTAAAAAAAAAAAAAAGAAAAAAACCATTTTGAAACATACTACAAAGTAGAAAGAATATTGTAACAAACCCTCTGTCTGCTAAATATGATAATTAGTATTTTGTTTCAGCTACTTTCCCCCCTCTGCTGAAGCATTTTCAAGCAAGTTATCAAGCTGGTATTTAACCTCCAAACAGTATGCCATGTCTCTAAGAACTAAACATTTTCTTTTTTCTTTAATGTTTACTTATTTTTGAAGGAGAGAGAGACAACATGAGTGTAGCAGGGGCAGAGAGAGATGCAGACACGGAATCTGAAGCAGGATCCAGGCTCTGAGCTGTCAGCACAGAGCCCGATGCAGGGCTTGAACTCACAAACTGTGAAATCATGACCTGAGCTGAAGACAGATGCTTAACTGACTACCACCAAGGCGCCCCAGAACTAAACATTTTCTAAATGAACTCCAATGTTGTCATTCAACAAGATTAGCAGTAATTCCCTTAAAACTTCTATTTTTGAAATATCATGTTTATATGAAAATTACAAAACAGGGCACAGATCTCTCATGCCCTTGACTTAGATTCCCTACATTGTTAGTATTCCTGAATATTGAGAATACTAGAACATGAAATCAGTTGCAGATGTGACATGGCATTTCCCGAACTCAAGAGCCCTCTGCTCTCCCTGGGCCACTGCTCCCTCCCAGAGAACCTCCAAATGGTAAGCACAAAAGCCCACACCCACTTCTGCTTCCTCCCTTGTCCTTCACACTTAAAAACTGTACAATTTATTAACTAATTTCTTTCTAGACAAGTCAAACAAAAGATGCACCAATATCCCTTTCAGCACTGTACCATGCCTCAAATTGAAGGCTCCTTGAGTCCTCAGATGTTATCTGTGCAACACACAAGGTGCTACAGTGGATATTTCCTCTAACTTGTTTCTTGCTTTAATTACTGTTATTTTGTTGACAAGCTTTCCAAGCTCCCCTGTCCAGGCAAAGCTGTGCCTAAACTGTCCCCAGAAACATCACAGCAACCATTTCTGATCCTAGGATGGTGACTCAAGAAGCAGAACCACATTTTAAATGCTAAGAAACCCTACCAAACTACCATCTGAAAAGACTTTACTCACAGCTTCTTCCAGCAGCACAGTATGAGGGGTCCCGTTCCCCCCAGGGAAAACAGGACTTAACATCAGATACTTAAAAACGTTACAAAACTTAACGTTTATACCGCTCACCCCCTATGGTTAAATACAGCTGACAAGCAAAACACGGACCCAACTTCTCCTTCATAAAGTCACTAATAGTGAGCCCAAGTGTGCTGGATTCTCTGAGGAACTTGAAAGAATTACACTCAAAGGCTAATTTTAGCACAGAGGAAGTCACGATGAAGTGAATAATAAATAGTTCACATCTTACTTTCTGCCTGTCCCTGGCTAAGAACTGGCCCCCAGCACAAAGGCTGTTCTAAGTGAGACTTCTGTGCTATTAAAAAATAAGGGGCACCTGGGTGGCTCAGTTAGTTAAGCATCTTCTGACGTCGGTCAGGTCATGATCTCATGGCTTGTGGGTTTGAGCCCGGCATCAGTCTCTGTGCTGACAACTCAGAGCCTGGAGCCTGCTTCGGATTCTGTGTCTCCCTCTCTGTCCTTCCCCTGCTCGCGTGTGCTCTCTCTTGAAAATAAACGTTAAAGGAAAAATTTTTAAAAAAACACCAGTGACTAAGGGCCTGCTCTGTGCTTAGTGAAACAGTGGATGTGGCCCCAGGCCTCCTGGTGCTCGCCTGAGAGGGTACTCAGAGGAAGCAGGGAGGCCTCGTTCTTCAGCCCAGAACGTCTCTGCACGAGGTACAGGGAGGTAAAAGAAAACAGGAAGGGCAGGGGCCCCACACTCACTTAAGGTAAGGTATGGGGACATGCAGTTGTTTGAATGGCACCCTCACCCACTCAATATGTCCACAGCCGAACTCTTGGAGCCTGTGAATGGGATCTTATTTGGGACAAAAAAAGGTCTGTGTGGATGTGATTAAGTTTAGAGTCTTGAAGTCATGCTTAATTTTCTATTGGCCATAAATCCAATGACAAGTGTCTTTATACAAGACACACAAAGGTGACTCGACAGCAGAGGAAGATCATGTGAAGAAAAAGGCAGAAACCACAATACTGCAATTACATGCCAAAGAGCACAAAGGGCTGTTGGTATTCAGCAGAAGCTGGAAGAGGCAGGTAATGGAGGAGGGGCTGAGAATACAACCAACACCTTGACCTAACTTCTGGTCTCCAGAATTGAAAGAATGAATTTGTTGTCTTAAGCCACCCAGGTTGTGGCAATTTGTTACAGCAACCCCAGGAAACTGATATAAAACATCATAATACTCTGCTTTGTATGTATTTTGGAATTTCCATAACTTACACAAATATTTTCGTGGCATAGTCTTCATGCACAGATGCGATGGCAAAGTGAGAGAGGCTCCCCGGAGGCCCTGGGTTCACGTGTGGGGCCACAAGTCACAGACATCCCATGAGGTCCTATCACCAGTCTCCCTCAAGACTCCTCTCTCACTAGGCCACTCCTGCTCCTGGGACCCTCTCGAGCATGTCCGCCTCAGGGTCACTGCATGGGGCATCCAAATGGCCTCTGCTGCCTCACGCTGTCCCGTGGCTCTCAGGGTGGCTGCAGAGACCTTTCCACTCTCCACCCCCCTGCCTGACTTGTTTCTTCTCAGGCCTGCCCCATGTGGTGTGATGGATTTCTTTCTTAATGTTGTTGCCTGCGTGCATGCTGTAGAATCTTAACACACATTCTGTATAAAACCAGGGTCCTTGAGTATATACCAGTGTCCGTCCCCAGTCTGAGATGAGTTCTCAGAGGGCCCCTGACTTCCTGGTGACAGCAACACCAAATCTCCCAAACCTTCCCTATGGCATAGGTGCAAGCCAGCAGGTCGGGCCTGCCTCGTCCTAGACACAATGTTCAATACCAGGCCTCAGAATGTCCCTGAGCTGTGAGATCGCCACCTGAGGAGGCCCCATGAACACTGTCCCTCACCCTCAGCCTGACCACACAGAGGCAAACGGGGTAATGTGGCACGGAGACTTTATTCTGGCCCCTCCCCCCTCCTCCTGAGTCAGTTCATATCTGATCAGCGAGTGGGCTCACTCAGCACTCAGAAAGACCCTCTTGCGTGCAGTGTTGGTATAGGGGTGCCAGCGCCACTCGACATCTGCTGTGGCCTCCTGCTCCAGCGTGCCCAGACGAATCATATACACTGGGGGGATGGAGATGGGAACACTGTCATCTATAATCCCAGCAACTCCTCCCCACCCCCCCAGAAGTAGAATAAAGCTCCAGACTCACACTTTAGTTCAAAGCGAGGTCCAACCTCAGTCAGCTCCACATTGCGGTGGTCGGTCTTCCTATATACATGGTGCCTGGGGCAAGGGGAGACAGGGAGCAGATGGGGGCCAACGATAAACAGCAGAGGGACACAAAGGTCAGGACACTGTTCTAAGGCCAGCCCGTGGACCCACCGGAAGGAGATATAATCGTCTTGGTTCGCAAAGGTGATGACTCGGTGGCTGTCATCTTTGGGCACGGGGAACAGGTAACGGAGTATGTCAGAGACCTGGGTCAGAGGAAGGAGAGCGGCAGATGCCCAGCCTGGAAGTCCCTGCCCCCAGCCCTCAACCCGCGGACCATGACTTACCCGCTTCCCTAGGCGGGAGGAGAAGCCATGCATGATGAGGTGAGGCTTGGCCTCTGATACGGTTCCCAGGTCAGGGATGTCATGCCGCATGACCACGTTGCACAGTGTGAAGTAAGCAGTGGGGCCGAAGGGCAGGTGGCTGACAATAAACCCCACTGGTGGGGCCAGGCAGGCCGTCAGAGACCCACTCTGCTCTCAGACGGTCACCCCAGCAATCCCAGCAGATACCTTGTCCCTGCCCACCAGACTTACCAGGTGTGCCTCGATGCTCATGGACCACCAGCAGGTCGGTGACCCCGTTGGATTTGCAGGCTCGCACCAGTGCCCCCACCTCATGCCGGCCGCGGTTCATGCGCTGGGCACCTGGGAACACCAACTTCAGCTCCTGCATATGAACACACTCCAAGTAGCACTGGGGCCACTCATGCCTGAGCATTTTCCACTTGCTCCCCACGCCTGGTACCTTTGCAAACATCTTGAGGCGAGAACTGGGATCTCGAGAGGTAGTGATCATGACCTTAGGATCCTCAACCCCTGCCCATCGATATTCATCATCCATGTGGTTGGTCACACCTGTCAGGAGCATGAGGGGCAAGAACAAGACACTGTCTTGGGAAGTAAAATGCTAACTTGAGGGAGGCTGAATCTGTCTAGAAAAACACTGTCTGGTTAATACCTCCAACAGTGAAAATGCTCCACACCTGCACTGGGCAGGAAGGTGCTCCCCAGCCACACAGTTTACAAACGCAAGTGTGACTGAGGATTTTAAATCTGATTTGATTTTAGTTCATTTTAATTATATTTATCACACAGGGATAGTTGCTACCATACTACACAAGTCCAGATTGTTAGGCCGAAGGTAACAGACTCCTTTCCCTCATAACAAATATTTGTAATGTCTTTGATACCTTGAATATTTGTTGGATAATGCAACAAATGAAACACCTGGATGCCAAGGAAATGCCAGGAGCTGGGGACATGGCAGTGAACAAAATGGACACTGTCTTGCCCTAGCAGAGTTCATACTCTAGTGAGGGAAACAGCAGACAAAACAGGAAGTGGGATGATACTGCATGTGTTATGTAAACGAAATTGGGAGCACTAAAGAAGAGCAGTTCGGAGGTGTCATCTGTGCAGAGCCGCGAGGGCACTTGGGGGACAGTTTCGGGAGCAGGAACTGCATAGCCTTTCCTTCAAGGTGTCTGAGGAATGACGTGGAAGCCAGCAGGCCCAAGTGCAGGGAGAGAAGCTGGCCCAGGGTCGGGGAAGTTCACCTTCACCACCGGCATCATCAAACTCCAGGGATCCCTGTAAGGCCAGAGCCTCCCTGCGTAACTCCGTGGGAATCAGGCGGTTCTCTGCAGGGGGAAGACAGAGGGGCTGAATGAGACACAAGCATGGATCCCTCATTGGAACAACACTGTGGCTTACGAAAACTTGTACAGACTTGACGAAAAAGTACCTTTTTTTACTCCTTTCTGTGCAGAAAGAAAATACGTGATTTTTTGGCAGGGGGGAAAAGGGGGAGACAAAACAATGTGTCTTACATGCCAACCTGTTAACAATGTTTACAGAGGTCTTCCTTTACTATTGTTTCTGAGTTTCATGGTTTGAGGGCTTTCTAAAATATTTAGTCACAAGTATATACTGTTTTTATAATTAGAAAACAATTAACAAACTAATTTTTTAAAGAATAAATCCAGAGTGCTCTGTATGAAGGTGGACCAGAAATCCTGAAACCCTCTGATAACAAAACTGCTCATCTGGCAGACTCTGCATAGTCAGTGCAGAGCCTGAGGTGGGATTGGAACTCACAAACTGTGAGATCATGACCAAACTGTGATCATGATCACATGTTTGATCATGATCAAACTGTGAGTCGAATGCTCAAATGACTGAGCCACCCAGGTGGCCCCTAAATTGCTACTTTTTTTTTTTAAATGTTTTATTTATTTCTGAGAGAGACACAGCATGCGCAGGGGAGGGTCAGAGAGAGAGGGAGACACAGAACCCGAAACAGGCTCTGGACTCTGAGCTGTCAGCACAGAGACCGATGCGGGGCTCGAACCCACAAACCGTGAGATCATGACCTGAGCCCAAGTCAGACGCTTAACCGACTGAGCCACCCGGGCACCCCGAGCATTTTTTATTTCTAATGTGAGCAGATAGGTCACAAGTGTTTACCACAATGCCTAATGCAAACATTTATATACAAAACATATGCACTTTCTGTCTAAACCATAAGAAAATCAAAGTGAACTTAAAATAATTAGAGGCATTACGCTAAAGTACTATCAGATTAGGAAACAAATTTGCACCCACACAAGACCCAAGAAAATAGGGACAAATATGGCATTTCCCATCAGGCATGTGTAACACTCTTCTTCAGTATGACAAAAACCAAAGAAAATGCTTTTTTAAAAAAAAGTTAAACCCTAACAACACATATAAAATTAAGTTCTCTACAATTTAAGCTTTAAAAAGCAAGGGAATCATAACAATGCTAAAGGACAAAAAGATATTCTTGCTACCCTGTACTGAAGAAGGTAGCAAAAAGAAAAATAAGGGGGTGGGGGCGGGAGATAAAATATCTATAGGACAACGTAAAACATTTAAATTTGGTTAAGAACTAAACACATTGTAAACAGAATTAACAGGCAAACTGTTAACTCTGCTTAGTGCTGCATAAATGTAAGTAATTCATACCCTCACGGAAGGGACATCCGGAAACAAACAGGAAGACCCAACAGGCAAGGGAAATGGCCAGGAAATAACTGAAGCTCAGCCACACTAATAGGAAGAAGCACTAATTACACGCGTTTCATTCCGCTGGATTTAAAAACGCAAACCGATGGTGTTTACAGTGACGCGTGTAGAGCGGCCGCGGGCGGCGACGGCGTACCTTCGAGCGCGCGCCGCACCTTGTCCTTCTTCTCCCGGGCGGCCCGCTGCGCCTCCTCGCGCGCCTTGCGGTACAGGTACTCCCGGCGCAGGCGGGCCTCGCGGCGCAGCTGGGGGCGGGGGGCCGTCAGCGCCTCTGCGGCCGCACACGGCCGGGCCCGACGGCCGCCCGCCCCGGCCCCCCGCGAGCCCCCAACCTCGAGCCCCGCAGCTCCAACAGCCCTCCTACCATCCTGAGCGCGGCTTCCACGTGGGGCCGGGAGCCTCTTCCGCTTCCGACGGCGCAGCTCCACCCTCGGTGCGGCCCCCAACCAGGAAGGCGACTAGAAGCTTCCCGAGGCTCTGCTACCGTTGGGAGTGCCCGCTGTTAAGATGGCGACGGGTGGGCGGGAGTTGCCAGGCGATTGGCCAGTCTGAGAGCCACGCTCACCCGAGCAGCCAATAGGCTGGCGTCGAAGCGTCGTCGGCCCCACGCGAGAGCGGCCGCGGAGGTGTGTGCGTGGCTCGCGCCCGCTCGCCGCGGGGCGGAACGCCCGGCCGTAGGCTGACGAGCCGCCCGAGCAGTCGTAGCCGGCGGCCCGAAACGACCCAGCAACTGTGGCAGCGGCAAAGCAGGTGCCCGGAGGCTCGCCTGCCAGCTCCTCCCTTAAAACGGCGGCCCCGCCCATCGCCACGGCTGTAGCCCACCTGCACCACGCAGCCGCTGCCAGAAGGAGCTAGCCGGCCACCGTTCCGGCCGACTGTCCGCGACGCTGGCCGACGTCAGGGCCGCCGGCGAGTCGGCGCGCGCCCTTAGAAGCCACTGCCCGGCGGCCTCTAAACGCGGGGCGGCCGGGCCCACGGCCGGGAACGCCCCTTGAAGGAGGGTGTCGGGGGCCTATTGGCTGTCCTGACGGCATGGCGAACGGCGATTGGGCGACCCGGGAAGAGGCTGGTTCCTGACTCGGTACCCTGGGCCATGGCTGCGCCGGACCTGCGGGCGGAGCTGGACTCGCTGCTCCTGCAGCTGCTCCAGGACCTGGAGGAGCTGGAGGCGAAGCGGGCGGCGCTGAACGCTCGCGTGGAGGAGGTGGGGGCCTGGGCAGAGGGCGGCGGGGCGTGCGGGGGTAAACGGGGTTTCACCGCTCTCCTCTCCTCCAGGGCTGGCTCTCGCTCTCCCAAGCTCGCTACGCTATGGGTGCCAAGTCGGTAGGGCCCCTGCAGTACGCTTCCCGCATGGAGCCCCAAGTCCGCGTCTGCGCCAGGTGAGGAGCTGTGCATGCTGGGGCGGGCGGGCAGCGGCCGGGCTGGGGCCTCCGAGTGTCCAGCCTGCCTTCTCGTTCCTCAGCGAGGCCCAAGACGGACTCCAGGCGTTCTGGCTGGTGAGACCCAGCGCCCAGACTCCAGAGGAGGTGGGGCCCCGCGAGGCAGGTGAGCACCCCCCCTTCCCTTCTGGGCGCCCTCCCGACGCCAAAGACAAAATGTACAGGATAATTGAGGAGATGATTTTATTGAGGGTGTTGCGATGGGGAGGGCGGCCCAGATTGAAGGATCAGAATGTCTCAGCAGGGTGTTTTTTTTGCTTTAGACTTTTATAGGGGAGAAATAGACAAGTTATAGATGAGGTTCGTCACAGTTGTGATAGTTTTGCAATCAGGGGAAGTTGAACAGAAAGTGTTTATATGTCTACCTTAGGGGGACAAAATTCTACTCAATCATTTATGAAAGGAAGGGGGAGTTGGAGGTCCTGTCTGGCCTTTCAGCATGTTCAGGCAAAATGAGAAAAGTCAGTGTGTGGCTCTGTCACAGGTAAACAAGGGAGTCATTTGCTAATCTTAGGAGAGTCTTGAGAAAGGGTGGTCAGGGCCTCTCATTTGAATCACAAAGGGAAGGATTGCTCTTTGTGGTAAGCTGCTTCCTGGAACAAATGGTTGGGGGTTATTTTCCAAAAACCCGATGTTTGTCAAGATCATGAGCTCAGATCAAGTTCAACATTGTCACTGAGAAGTCAAGGGTTATTTAATGAAACCCCCAACCTCCATTCTTTCTTTATCCAGCTTTGCGCAGACGCAAGGGTCTCACCAGAACCCCAGAGCCAGAGTCCTTCCCAGCCCTCCGGGACCCTCTGAACTGGTTTGGAATCCTAGTTCCTCACAGTCTGCGGCAAGCCCAAGCCAGCTTCCGGGAGGGTGAGTGGATCCTCTTTCTACTGGAAACACTTGGGCACTAATGCCATCCCAGGGCTGGATTAACTGCAAAGGATTTTCTAGGTTTTCTCCATAGCAGACTTTTGTTGTACACCTGTTTTTTCAAGAAGCATTTACTGGCTGTTGGTAACGTTCCAAGCTCATGCTAGGTGCTAGGAATACAGGAGGAAACAAAAGGGATAAATACTTCTCATGGAATGTTTATTCTGTGGAAGGGATAAAGAGAACATGCAATAAGCCAGCCCTCTACACAATACCAGGTAGAGAATTGTTATGAAAAAATAGGGTATGGTGGATAGAGTGGGACAGGAGTGGACCAGAGGGGTTATTTTATAAAGGGTGGTCTGGAAAGGCTTCTCTGAAGAGATGGAGGGAACTTTGTGGGTGATCTGGGAGATTGGTGTTGTAGGCAGAAGTGTTAGCCAGGGCAAAAGCTTTGAGATGAGATCACGTTTGGGCTGGCAGAGAGGAAGCCAATAAGTTGGAGTGGAACTTACGTAGTGGGGAATGCCAGAAGCTGAGGTCAGAGGAGGCTTGGCCAGGTGGTTTGAGGCCGTGTAGGCCCTGATGAGGACTTTGGCTCTGAACAGAGGGAGGTGCATTGGACCCACAGAGTGATAGGAAGGTTGTGGGTACTGGGTGGGACATGACAAGGGAGGAAGCAGGTGCCAGGGAGCAGCCATGCTTGAGATGGAGGTGGAGGCAGTGAAGGAGGGGGTAAGTGGTGGGAACCTGTATGTTTTGAGAGTAGAAGCCACAGGATTTGTTGATAGATCAATTGGAGAGTTAGGGAAGGAGAGAAGTGAAGGATGAGCCCCTAGATTCTAGCTAGGGAACCCAACACCTAGGACGGAAGCTGCCCTCACTGTGAGAGGGCTGCGGAGTTGTACCACGGGTAAGTCAGGAGTTGGGTGTGAGGGTGTTCCCAGTGCTGTGTGGTATAGACTCTGATCAGGCGTCGGGGCACACACAATCTGGAGTTTGGAACAGACCTGGCCTTGAAAGAGCGATTTGGGAGCTGACTGTATGACACTGGTGTTTAAATTCCCAAGTTGCTGACACAGACACAGCATTAAGGCTGAGATCAGCAGAGGGCCTTGGACTGTGGAGAGGAGGTGGGAAGAGAAAAGGGAGAAACCATATGAGGAGACTGAGAAGCAGTTGGTGAGGCAGGAGCAACACCCAGAGGGTAAGGGATCCCAGAAGACAAGAGGAGAAAGTGCTTCCTGGAGGGAGGTGATCAGATGCACGGCCAGCTCTGCTGTTAGGCAGGTAGGCTGAAGACTTAACTGGCCGGTGGACTAGGCAGCATGGAGGACCCAGATGACTTAATAGCAGAGGCATCAGGCAAAAGCCACCTCGATGTGGATCCGGAATGTGGAGCACTCTTGGGGGCAGAAAAAACAGAAAGACAGAGTGGGAGAACAGTGAAGGACTGTGACAGTGAAGGAAAGAAGAAAGGAAATGAGGGCATGCACAGTGTTATGATCTGTGAATTGTTAGTTCCTGATGGGTGTGATATAAGGAGGTCAAGGAAGTCTGTTGAAGAGGTAAAATTTTCTGAGTCTAGTGAGGTTCTGAAGCAGCCAATGCAAGGCTCTTCCTGAAATATTTTAGGAATAGTATGGAGGCCAGAGAGTTCTGGAGCCTTTCCAGTCTTTGGGGATGTCTCCTGAGTCATGTGTCACATCACACATATCATGGTGACAATTCTGTCTCTTCATTTAGGCCTGCAACTGGCAGCAGACATGGCCAGCCTTCAGATCCGCATTGATTGGGGTCGAAGCCAGCTCCGGGGGCTTCAGGAAAAACTCAAGCAGCTGGAGTCTGAGTCTGCATGACCTGTGACTGGAGGCAGAGGAGCGAGCACAGCCATCCCCTCCTGCGGCTACCTCATCTCAGGCCTTCCTCCTCCACAGATTGCCCTGTCCCTATTCCCAGCTGATCCCTGCTACTTAAAATGTCTCTGGTTTGCATGTTTCCAGCTTTGTTAAGTGTGAAAGTTTGAAGAGGCAAACTGAATAATGTTGACAGTCATTTCTGTGACACCAGTTCTAGGGTTGTGTTCTGCTAGGACACATCCGTGTGGGGCAAGGGCAGAGCTGTTAGGTTGGTTCGTGTTAGTAAATAACCAGGACAGTCTCATGGACACATCAGCTGCCGTTTCTTTACAGGATCCAATACTACACAGCTAGTGGCAGAGAAGGACAGAAAATAGGTGCTTCAGTTTCACTAGATTCTCAAAACTGATCTTGATACATGGGTAGAAAACCAAACATGGCTAACAGATCAGGACAGCATGATTCCAGGTCAATAAAAAGCACAAACACCTGAGTAATAGGCAGTTCTTGACAGGTTTTAAGCCAGAAAGTAAAACAGATTTGACTTCGATTTTCAAGGGAACTCTGGGAAGCAAACTCCAGGAAGAGACCTTTCAGATTTTTAAAAACTTTCCTTTATCTTTTCAGGAGTGAGACAAACCCTCTTTTAATTTTTAAAGGTCCAGTTGTATTTCCTGTGATGGGAACTATGGCCATGCTTCATTTTCCTGCTGGGTTGTAGGTATTTTTAGCAGTTTCAAGGAGGTAATCTTTATGTTTGGAGAAAATTAATCCTTTGTTCTTAATATGAAATATAAATATTTTCCCCAGTTTATCTTTTAACTTTGCACATGGTGTTTTTTTTAAGCCTTTATTATAAAACACGTTAAACTGCATAAAACAATTGAATAGCTTAATGAATAAGGTGAAAACTATAGTAACCATCACCCAGCTCTTGTATTTTTCTAGTCAGTTTTCTTAATAGAGTTGAATTTATCAATCAGCTGTTTTATGATTTCTGGACTTGCGGTTGTAATTGATGTGATAAAGGAACTCTCCAATGTTTTCGTAAAAAACTTTCAGTTGACGTATGGGGTGAATCTTGCAACCAATTTGTCTTTTCTACCATAGGTCTACATACGTACATTATGTCGATTAATCTACCCTTACCTCCGACTTGAGATGCATGCCACCTTTCATTCTTTCACTTAATCCCGATGTATGCCCCTATCATATTTTGGACTTCCATTGTTTCATTGATTTTACTGTCAGTGAAAATCCTTAAGCCTTTCACATATACTTTAATTGCAGTGGTCAGATTTGTGATTGGATTGGGGAGAATTTTTGTTTCGTTTCTCTTTTTGCCACCTTGGGCTTAAGTTGTCAGTGAAAAGCTTATTGGAAGCACTCAAAAGTAAACTAGAGAAGAAAAGTACATTCCCCTCCACACTAGTTGAATTTCAGAACAAAATACTATTACCAACGAAGTGCCAACCAGTGAGATTTTGAAGCTAAAATGAGAAGACACCACAGTCGGTTTTTGCTTTTCACGGACAAGACATTCATGTGGAATTCTGGTCCTGGAGGGTGTCCTTCATTTTAGATGTCAGGAAATGACCATTCATTGTTTGGAGTTGGGCTTCAGGTGTGCCTGCAAACACGACACAAAGACCGAACCCTCGGCAATCTGCCCTGGCTCTAGTCGTTTAGATTTACGGGAGGTTGTTTCCTGCTTTCTCCTCTAGGGTGTTGATAGTTTCCTGTCTCACGTTCAGGTCCTTTATCCATTTTGAGCTTATTTTTGTGCATGGTGTGAGAAATTGATCTAGTTTCATTCTTCTGCACGTTGCTGTCCAGTTCTCCCAACACCATCTGTTAAAAAGGCTGTCTTTTTTCCATTGGATACTCTTTCCTGCTTTGTCAAAGATTAGTTGGCTGTATACTTTTGGGTCCACTTCTGAGTTCCCTCTGGAAAACAGTGTGGAGGTTCCTCAGGAAACTAACACTAGAACTCCCCTAGGACCCAGCAATAGCACTGCTAGGAATGTACCCAAGGGATACAGAAATGCTGATGCATAGGAGCACATGTACCCCAATGTTCATAGCAGCACTCTCCACAATAGCTAAAACATGGAAAGAGCCTAAGTGTCCATCCACAGACGAATGGATCAAGAAGATGTGGTTTATCTATACCATGGAATACTACACGGCACTGAGAAAGAATGAAATCTCGCCATGTGTAGCAACGTGGATGGACCTTGAGGGTGTTATGCTGAATGAGATAAGTCAGGCAGAGAAGGACAAATACCATATGTTTGCACGTATAGGAGGATTAGGAGGAACTTGACGGAGGAACAAGGGGGAGAAGAAGGGCAGAAATGGTGGGGGAGAGGGAGAGAGGCAAACCATGAGAGACTCTTGAATGCTGACAAAAACTGAGGACTGATGGGCGTGGGGGGGAGGGGGGATGGGCATGGAGGAGGGCACTTATGGGGATGAGCACTGGGTGTTATGTGGAAACTAATTTGACAATAAACTATTTGTAAAAAAAAAAAAAAATTGGCAAAGGAAGTATGAAAAAAAAAAAGGAGATTTACGGGAGCAGGAGTTCCCGCCCCTGAGAGAGGCCCGGATGTTCCTACCCAGACTCAGTTGTGAGAAAGGGGTTCTTGAAGCTGGGACTCACGCAAGGAGCTGCAGTCAGAAAATTTCCATTGGTGGACTGAGGCCGGTAGTGCACCGCTGTTGTGTGGGGGCGCACAGGAGACACCGACAGAAGCGATGTATACACGATGAGCAACCAGCCACCAGCACCTCCCATATGGTCTAGCGGTTAGGATACCTGGTTTTCACCCAGGCGGCCCGGGTTCGACTCCCGGTATGGGAATTAAGGGTGTCTGTTTGTTTCAAGTTGTAAGTGCTGGCTGGGATCTTATTTCTTTCACCGCAGGTGGAATTGGATATTGCTTTATTTAAACCTGGAGATATTGAGGCCCAGGGCCCCAGCCTTCTGTGTTTTGAATGAAGTGTCGATTTTTACCACATCAATAACTGACTTCTCTATCAGCAACTCTTTAATTATATGTTACAGTATACACTATAGAAGTGAATACTATTATATTTAAATATTAAATAATATTTAAAATACTCAAAATTTATTGCCAGTCTCAGTGGAGGGTGACCACTGTCTGGCCCTTCCCACACACCTCTGGGTAGAGACACCCTCCAGGAGGAAGGAGGGGATGGGGGTGGAATCAAGACCCTTGAATCCTCTGCTCCAGAGACAGTCCAGAGGCTGGGCTGCGATGGTTGGAGCTGAGGCTCTGGAGGAGCATAGGATGCAGGGCAGGAACGGATTGGAGAGAGCCAGTTGGAAGAAGTCTCTGACAACTTAACTTTCTCTGGTCTTGTGGCCGCTTTATTTGCCTAATGGTACAGTGGTTAGAGTTCCGATTTTTTTCACCTGAGCAATCTGGTGTTCCCCCTTACCCTTCATGGAAATTACTTAAAACTTTAAGATAACCCTTCACCCAGCCCCCCTCCTTCTGCAACACGTACACAATTCCCGTCAAAAACTACAAACAGGAGTCACGAAGTGCCTTCCTCAATTTTCCACCCCCTTTTCTCTGGTTCATTTAGTCAGTCCAAGGAGAGGTTATGTGCAGGGCTGAGGTCCCGCCTTCAGGAGTAGACCACTACAATAATTTATTCATTCACACATTTTGAGGGGAGAAATTACTTCTATTTACAACTCTTCTTAGATCCATGAGAAAACTGAAGTCACAGAACAAATTGCTGCCTTGAAAACTGGAAAGAAGACTGAATACAGAGAGTCATAGTATACCAGGCTCAGAAGGCGCTGCTGGAGCCAGCATCTGGTAGAAATACTTAAAGGCTAATTGACCCTGCTGAGAAAAAATTCTCTACAGGCCTACAAGGGCCTTTTCTTTTCTTTCTTTTCTTCTTTTCTTTTTTCTGTCTTTTCTAATGTAATTTTATTATTTTATTTATTTTGACATGTTTAATATTTATTGTACTTTTGCAGAACAAGAGTCCTAGGTAGCTGCTATCTCGGTGGCTTAATTTAGACAAAAATAGACAAGAGGCATCAATTTATTACTATAGCAGATTTAACAGTGACTCACTAAATTATTTAACAGAAGCATTTTCTAGAAAGTACGAATCTAGTCACATGAATCCAAAAATAAGTGAAATATAAGAACACCATACACATTTTGTACAATGCACTTTTAGTTCTCCACAGTTTCATTTGGTATAAAGCAAATGTAACTTGGCTCTGATGTAGACAATTATTGGTATGGTTTTCAAGTTTTTCAGTGTGGGAAAGTGACTGTGGCCCTCCTCAACATGGAGCCCATAACACCCCCTGGGAAGGTTCAGAATCAACTCACATATCTGCAAACAGACTAGAAACAGCCAGTCAGGCGAATGCTGGTTTTCCTCAAATGAAAACTGAAAAAGAAAAAAAGAAAAAAAAAAAAAAAGATTTTGCCGGTTAAAACAGTTTCCTATTCCATTTGAAATCTAGGCATGGATCCGCTGGCCATCAAACTCAGAGTCAGAGCCCTCAGGAAAGCTGGAAGAAATTCTTCAGAGACAGCAAAGTGAAAGGTTTTCTTTTCTGTTCTTTTCTTCTTAATGTTTATTTACTTTTGAGAGAGAGAAAGAGCCTGCACCTGAGCACAAGCTGGAGCGGGGCAAAGGGAGAGGGAGACCGAGGATCAGAAGTGGGCTCTCTGCACAGAGCCCAATGTGAGGCTTGAACTCAGCAACTGTGAGATCATGACCTGAGCCAAAATCAGACACTTAACCCACTGAGCCACCCAGGCACCCCAAAGGTTTTGAACCCGAGCTCCTCAGCCAGGACAGAGAGAAGCAGGCAGATTCTTCAGAGGAGTTGGGACATTTTTATTTATAAACTAAGGAAATGAAGAGCCCCCAGCCAAAGCATGTGAGATTTTATGAAAGAATAAAATCTTTAGCATGACGTTGGTTAAAGGCAAAAGAAAATTTCCATCTGCAGTAACAACTTTAATTTTTTCAAAGGAGTAGCCATTTTAGATTCCATTCTAAGTCAGGATGACTGTACATAAACTTTATTTAAACCAAAAGTCCAATTTCTGGCCCACCTGACATACACTGTGCATCTGCTTTGTAAATGAGTTGCCTAAAGGAAAACCATCTTGTTGATGAGTATCAATGAATATTCCTTGCATTTCTTGATACTAAAACTTGTGATTCCTGCCTATATGTTAATCTGTAATCTCTTGACCTTTTAAAAATGTTTTAAGAATCTATAACCCTGCGCAGTGTTCATTCTCCAGAGCACTATCTTCTCTGTGCACCTCCTAGGCACTGTCCTAACTTGGGCTTGAATAAAACTGTCTTTCTTTCTTTTAGAGTTTCTAAAAGTTATATTCATTTGGTGTCCACAATCCTCACATTCCTGTGGGTTTTACCTCCAGGAGCCCTATAGGTTTTTAGGATCAAGACTGGAGAAAGATCCCCTGGTGCTTCTGGGAAGGGGAGGGGAAGAGTGACCACTGTGAAATATGCCAGGGCACCCAGTCCTCCTCAACAAAGGTCTTTCCTCAGGGAAACTATACTAGAGCCAACCTGTCCTGGGGGGAGAGAAGTACCCAACTTTAACCCTCTCCAGACTTCCTATATCACATTAAAAAAAAAAAAGGTGGGAAGCACTTTTGAAGGTTTTAGCCTCAGGGAAGAATCTCTCTTAAAAGACTATAGGATTATAGAGTATTCCCCCCCCCCCCATATTATCACCACATCTGTACTAAGGCTCCTGTACTATAATATATATATTATATTATAATATAATATATATTATTATCTCTCAGTCCTTTTTCTTAACATAATTTATTGTCAAATTGGCTTACATACAAGACCCAAGGCTCATCCCAACAAGTGCCCCCCTCAATGCCCATCACCCATCCCCCCCTCTCCTCCACCCCCATCAACCCTCAGTTTGTTTTCTGTTTTTAAGAGTTTCTTATGGTTTGCCTCCCTTCCTCTCTGTTTGTAACTATTTTTCCCCTTCCCT